GGTCTTCTCATCACTATCAACGCGGGACTGTCCATCGTGATGTCGGTTACCGTTCACGGTGAACCAATGGCGCCCCTCCTTCACACAGGTCAATACTCCCTCCCCCCTCCGGATGAAGGCCAGTGTGTTCAAAATCCAGACCACTCTGGGAAATCGAAATCGAGAATCGTGCCACTCTTCGGTATGGAAACCACGACATACGGATCTGTGCCGTCTCCGAATGCCAAAAGAGTGAACTCAGTATCCCAGAACATCCGGGATGTCTCGCAACCATGGCTTATTTCGACTACAGTATTGCTTCCTTCAACCGAAAAGTAAACCTTCTGTTTCCTCTTCACGTGCTCGTCATCAGAAAAAGTCATACACCATCGAGAGGTCCGGATACCTTTTGTCAGACACTTGTCTAGTCCTTGTGTCACCCTTCCCCAAATAGGTTCATGTTTATGCAGAGCAGCAATGCATTGAAAGAGATAGGTACATTACACAAGCCAGGGACACACCGAAGACACTCCCACATAATCAAAATAGGTAGACAATACTTTTCGGCAAGCACCCATGATGCTTACTGTACCATTCCAACACAAGATATCCGGAATGTCAGAATGACGTCCCGACTTTGTACGCCCTCGATCAAGCCACAGAGTGAGGCATCATTTCATAGTCACACCAGGGGGCAACCGATCATTCTTTCTTCTTCGACATATCATAGGCCCTCTCTAAACGGCTTAACAAGCAACACCCGAGCACAAGAAGATATTTCTAGCAGCACTCCTTTCACTCACATACCGGATGCTAAGCATCCCGGGCGTACAAACGACTGGACCCAATTTCCCGGGACGAAGATACATACCTCTATACATATCGGTTCGATTTGAACAACTGATATCAACAAGTGACATCTACAATCTTTCCCTTGTCCGTATCGTATCGCGATCTCTCGTACGCTTGTGAGCCCAAACGACGAACAAGGGAACTCCATCCATCAGTCACAAGTCTGATTCCAGAAATGTACCCGTATCTGTAACTGGCTCTTCTCTTCTAACCGATCTATGCGCCACTATTCAGGGTCCCATCCAAACCCCGAAATCGATGGGGGTCCAAAGCAAGTATCTAAGGAAGACAAGGTCAAGGACGGATGGGGCGAATGGAAAAGGGCCAACCCAGCCCCAGCCAGATAGGCTTGTCCTATCTTACAGCATCGATGCTAGAGGTAATCCTGAGCGCAGTCTGGGCGCAGGAGTTTCCGGTTCCCAGCTGGATGGTTCGGTATTCCCTTCCCCAGCGCCACCACCAGCATTTCTGAGAAGGGGAGGCAGTGGGACACTCCAGTCCAGTCCGGCCGGATGATCATGGGCAAGGCATGGATGGGGGTCTTTTTGCTCGGGCCAGACCATTAACAGCCGATGGCTTATGGGAGTCTTCTATTTTTCGGGGTCGTCGTCCACTCTGCCACTTTACACTAGCGTAGAATATTCTCAACGTCTTTTTTTTTCGTCGTTCGGACTCACTCCCGAATGGTTCCTTAACGAAGTTCCGATGTTAGTGTCGTGCCTATGCGCAAGCCACAGTTGCGGAGTTGAGACTTTGGAGGATATGGGATTGGGGATGATTGGGGAGGCGTAGAATGGCCTGATAGGCTTTCCGATGAACGGTCCGCCCGGACGTTGAAGGGTCCAACGGATCCGATACCACAATAACCTAGTTTTTCTTTTTTTTTCTTTTTTTTTTTTTGCGTTTCGGTCGGAGACATTTGCATTGGACTGACTGTCCGGAGCAATTCCGAGGAGAAGCAACGGTAAGGAAGGAGATTGTTGAGGGCGGCGCTTGGCTAGCTCGGTCGGTTGGAGTTGATAGCTTGCGCGATGCCCACGAGGTGCGAAGGTATTCCCGGATCCTGAGATCCTGGTGGTGTCAAAGCGTCGTCTAGTTTGGATTAGTACACTACCACGCCGGAGTTTCGACTAGAATCTGACGACTCCGATAAGGCTATCAGGAAATACATACCTCTAAACGTACAAGTGAATCGTGTGTGAATGATCTGGACCTCTTTGGACCCTTGGCATCCCGTATCTTGCAGCGAGTTGTATCATTTGGCGCCTTCCCCGGATCAACATCAAAGTCTTGGGTACTTTGTGCACATCCCAGGCCATTCAATCAGATCATACCTCTATGGCCATCCCAAACCGGTACACTCCGCTTATTTCTTCCGCATTTGTTTGCCTTGCAGCTGCCGTACCGCGGTGAAGAAAATGTGTGCAATTTGTATGATTCGGTCCTGCCCAACACCAATACCAGCCATCCTGGCCTTGTGAGGGCAGGACTAAACAACGACTTATCGTGAGGTAGATAGTGGAGTCGCTTGTTCGCTCATGCCTCGGTGTGGCGATGTTCTTTCCTCCCGTGTAAATTGAACCTCAGTCTTGGTTGCTTCCGAGGAAGCGACGACCTGCGATTGCCGAACAGATGGTTATTGTTCAGGAAGGAACGATCAATCGCTGACATGTGCGGAGTTTACTTAGGTAGTTCCTTCCACTTGCGATATCGGGTGATACGTTGAGCAAGATGTTGGGAAGGCAATGTATTGAAGTGAAGAAGTCAATCCACAAACACCATTTGCGAATAATTCGCAAAAGAGTGAAATGGCCGTCATCTGACAACGACCGGAACTAAACTCCGTCAACAGGTGTTTTTTTTTCTCGTATAACACTGTACGCCAAGTGTGTAAAACGTCTGGCAAATGCCGAGTCAAGGGGTTTGAATGGTGAAAGTACATCACCAAGTTTGATCACTCCCATATGTAAGTGAGATGTACATATGGCCTTGCTGCTGTTCCGATGTTTGCTCGAATTCCAAGTAACGAGTAATACTACGATTTGTCCAACCCGCCCTCGCCGCCGTTCAACGATTCACATCATCGCTTCCGCGGATCCAGGGCGGACTGCATCCGAGATGAGAAGACTGCAGGCAGGCCAAGGCTAAGTCCATCTCCGTTCGACGGGACGCAAGGGAATGTCTTGACAATACGTAGCCGGTAGTTATCCGGCCATTTTCCCACTTGGCTAAGAGCGAGGAAGGCACGCACTAAAAGAAAGACGTACATTGGTCTAACATTCGTCCATTTGAAGACCTCGTTCACCACGATACAAGTCGTTCTTCGTATCTGGACCGACGCCGACGACAGATCAAAAGGAAAGATTGACAGTTGAGGTTGTCGATCACAAAAAGCCAATCATCGTCATGATCATCAACGGGAGTGTGCGAGAAGCAAAAGCCGCTGACGAGATATGTGCCAAGAGTAAGACGTGTCTGGTTTGTCGCTGACAGAAAGCCTCCTGCTTAAACGCTTTGAAGGGCGCCAATCCTCGATCGTCGGTTTCCCCTTGGGGATTTACCCCTATTATGTGCAGTAAAGATCCGAGAAAAGGTGGTCGCATATCTGGCGCGCGCCTCATGTTGTTGTCGTCGTTGGTTGAAAAATCTTGAGTTTTGTTGAGTGAGCGAAAACGGCTCATCAGTGGGTTACTGACTTAAGGCAAGGACGGAATAAACGAGATGAAGCGCGAGTGCGCAACCCATCCTAGTAAAATGCCACTGCACATGGTGAAAGAAACTCAGGTGAGAAGTTTCGCCAGTAGACTCCCAGTCGTCTTGCACAAGAACCTGAGTCTCACAAAGAGATGTTCTAGGAAGCGGAACGGATCATCTACATTGTCAGTCTATAAGGATACGCCAATCTGCATAATGTTGCGTGTGTTAGAGTTCCTCGTGGATCCATAAATACAGGGAACATAAAAGCCAGATAACGAGAGGAAAACTTGACCTGATTGATCCGGCTCTAGCCCTCGCAGGTTTTTTGCTGCTCATGGTTTACATTAGCTTCGAAAGTCATTGGCGAGGATATCTCCAGGACCTTGGAGATGATATCACCCTCCAGCCTGGCTCCGGTCATCATTCGTACCTAGCATAGTGCCCGGTAATGGATGACACTCGAACTCTCCGCTCTCTCCATTAGAGTTGCTTGCCTCGTCCCGGGGTGGGTTATAGCCTGAGTTACCTTGTCAGCTTTGTTCAACGCCGCAAGCAAACGAACCAAGGAGATAAGACTTTTAGGAGTGTAAGAGCGCTTAGTACGGGGAAAGTGTAGAGGCAATGGGGTGAGATATCGAGGAGCTGGACAGCATGCAGATCATAGAACAGAACATATCCAGCATTGAATAAAGCAACAAACAGTAAGCTCAAGAGGCAACGAGACCGCCGACAAGGAGTAAAGATGACCCAAAACTCTGGTATGTAAATCTATAGGGCTAAGCAAACTTAACTGTGCTCGTCATCAAGCGATACCAGCGGCCGCGCATACCCTTCATCCTGGATTGACACTAGGCATGTTTAGACAATCCTTTAAGCCATGTGATCACTGGCTTGCTGTACCCTTGCGTTCCCAGGCCCAAGTAGTCTCCTCTGGAACTCTAATGGCCATTGGAACAGCCTCAGTTGTCGGCGTGATCCCCTGATGAGGGAGAGACTCTCTGTTCGCAAACCCCAAATGCCATGAAGCATCGAGAAACGAACCATGCCGTCAACCATTTTCAGAGCCCATAAAAGTAACCTCTGCTTGACTATCCAACGCCCTTGTCGTTCTTAGGGTGGTTGACTGGTGATCGCTGTCGAAGTGTTGTAGGCTGGCCCTTTCGCTGGTGAATATTGGGTTCGTTGCTTGGTGGCTTGAAAGTCGTGACGAAATCGTAGAAGGCGACGTAAGGTGAGAAGCAACCGGGGTCACTTCGGATGTCAGTCTAAGAACCCTGGTGCTTTATTCCCACAATGCTAATACAAGGCAAATACCCAAACGCCATTCGCCGTTCCAGATTTACAAAACCATCCTGCCAGTAGAACACCGAATTATGTGAAGGTTCCAGAACAGAGCAACGAAGATAGAACAGTACTAATTCGAAACTCAGTTATCGACGAACTCCTTCTGCTGGTAGACGCAAGAAACCATGGCGTGGTCACGCTCATAAGGCTCTGTAGGCAGTTGTTAGTTATTGGTCGCTTTATCAGCCGAAAGGTATACGGGTTAACGTACCAAGAGTCAACTGCTCCTTGGGGAAGAACTTGTCCTCGCGGAGCTTCTGGACTTCAGAGGCGAAGACCTGCTCGGGAGGAGCAGTGGAGTCAATGCAAGAAGCCTTGATAGAGATGAGAAGACCACCACCCTGCTTCAGGAACTGCTTGGCGTTGATACCGACAATTCTATCTTGTGTTAGTGTCAGGCACAGAAAGTCAAGGGTACGTAGAATTCAGCTTACCTAGCCTGATCGGGCTGGGCAACATCGGCGAAGATGACATCGACCATGGGGAGGAGCATGCGGTAAGCCATGGGCTTACGGGCATCCTCAACGATGGGGATGACGTTGGTGCGGCGGGTAGCCATGTTGATGAGATCACGGCCGGAACGGTGAGAGAACTCGACGGCGTAGACGGCACCAGTAGGACCGACAATATCGGCAACGTGGGAGACGGAGGTACCGGAGGCAGCACCGAGGTAGAGGACCTTGGAACCAGGCTTCATATAGATGGTTTCAAGACCACCGAGGATACCGGCAGCAAGCTTCGAACGGAAAGGGTTCCAGATCTGCAAAGTCCAATGTTAGTCTTTGCCCAAGGCCACAAGCGTAAAAGCCTGGAAAACGTACGCGGTACTCAGTCTTGGTGGAAGCGCCACCCTCCTCCTTGGAGGCGTTCTCGACAGAGATTCTCTTCTCGCCATAGACGGACTCGCCAGGGACAAGGTTGACGGTAGCGAGGAGATCCTCCTTACCACCACGGGCGACGAAGACGCCCTTGTGACGGTGAGGCTCGACGATGACCTTCTTGCCGGCAGCGCCACCCTTGGCACCACCGCGGGCACCACCGCGACCACCACGGCCAGGAGGACTAGAGTCGTAATGTTAGTCAAAGTCTTTCGAAGTCATCAGCATATTTGGATATGTAAACGTACCCGCCACGGCCACCGCCGCGAGGACCGCCACGACCACGGGGAGCACCACCACCACGGCCACCTAAAAGTCATTGTTAGTAAGGTGTTGTTGTTGAAGTGGTTGCTGTTGCCATCGCATGTAGGATCGGGTGCGATATGAAGTTCGACTGAAGCCATCATCCTGATGCGAGGGATCAAGAGGCATGCATAGCGACCACGGGGCGCAGCAGACTCGAGACAACTCTCAAGATAACGAACAGAAGCAACGACAAGACCGCAAAGACCCTTCAAGCGATGCCATTGAGGCCAAACTCACCACCGAAGCCACCACGGGCACCGCCGCGGCCACCACGATCACCACCACCGAATCCACCACGACCACCGCCACGGGCGCCGCCTCTGCCACCACGCTCGAAGCCCATTTTTATAGAATGTGTCGGTATTGATAAGTCGGAGTCGGGATAAGTTGCGATTCTGGGCCGAAACGCGTTGTAAGATCTGTCGTGCGAGGCACAATGGGTTTAAAGTTGTCGCGCGGCGCTGTCGAGAGACTCGGAAAAGATGCTGGAGCTGGGTGCAAAATTTCCTGGACATGGATTGAAGAGAAAAAACAGCGGGGCACAGAGTCTCATCGCTGGAGCACTTTTTTTTCCGGTCGAGGTCTTTTGCCTTGCCATTGGCTGTCGCCCTGGCGTGGCGGTCGAGGTTCTCCAACTTGTTGCGGAGGCTATCGTGCACGGCCGGCAGTCCAGGCGGCAGGCTGTTATCAGCGCTAGCACTTACTGTCCCCGCGTGCACGTGCCTCAGGCAAAGTGACGGTCCGCACGAGCCACCTGCGCAGTGCCCACAGAGCCCTAATCGCGAAAATCGGTTTTTGTACGCCAAAATTGGAACCCATCACCACCTCTGAACATCACACTTGGTCGATTCCCCGTCCTCTCATCGACAAGCAGGCAAGATGGTGAGTAAATCCCTGCGAAACCCGCCGAACGAGAGAATTGCCGCCGTTATTTTGCTTCAGGACAGTTTTCGGGCTTCTGCAGCCGAAATGACGACGAAATTCTCGACGGACGACAATCACGGCTTTGCGAGCATTGCGAGCACTTGGAGGAGAGGGAATCGCTGACCGAGTCTTGTTCAAAATCGCAGGTTCGGTACGCTGCGACTGAGATTGCCCCGGCTAAGTCCGCCCGCTCGCGCGGCTCTTACCTCCGTGTCTCCTTCAAGAACACTCGTGAGACCGCCCAGGCCATCAATGGCTGGAAGCTCCAGCGTGCTCAGAAGTTCCTCGAGAACGTTCTTGAGAAGAAGGAGGCTGTCCCCATGAGACGCTACGCTGGTGGCACCGGCCGCGCCTCCCAAGGTACGACTACTCGAGATTCATATGCACAAAGACACCCGAACCGGTACATCATGCGACAACGCCGACAATGGGGAGGATGAAGTGGTGGGGGATAGGGGAATTGTCAGCATGATGGGACCGCGACCGACCGACACGAAACCGCAATCGAATGGAGGACATGGAAGACACGGTGCTGACCGTTTCTCCGTCATATAGGCAAGCAGTTCGGTGTTACCCGCGCCCGCTGGCCCGCGAAGTCCGCCGAGTTCCTCCTCGGTCTCCTCAAGAACGCTGAGGCCAACGCCGATGCCAAGGGTCTTGACACTGGCAACCTCGTTGTCAAGCACATCCAGGTCAACCAAGCCCCCAAGCAGCGCCGCCGCACCTACCGTGCTCACGGTCGCGTACGTTAAACCCCGAGATACTCCCCGGTTTCTGCTTCTGCACCGGCAGGCAGACGACCCAGCCGGCAATGGGCTAACAGTTCGCGTTTAGATCAACCCCTACATGTCCAACCCCTGCCACATCGAGCTCATCCTCACTGAGGCCGACGAGGTTGTCCAGAAGTCCGAGGCCGTTGTCCGCGAGGATGCTCACCTTTCCTCCCGCCAGCGTGGCGCTCGCGTCCGCCGTGCCATCACTGCCGCTTAAATGCGCTTTGATAGCTAGGTGATTGGACGAGGGGATGTTTTGATTGAGGGCTTCACTTTTTTTCCGGAACGGTGTACGCGAGCATGGCATTTTTCGGGTCAAGGTCACGATTCCAGGGAAAAAGGGGTCGATCATGAATACTCAATAAAAGAATTTGAGAAAGCATGAAACGACGAAACAAGCAATCATTCAAGTCCTGGCGTAATTGCCAACGGGACGCCAAACCTAATCGCGGGTTACCTGGGCTCTTTGAGTGGCTGTGACGTACATGTCTGCCCCTGATGCAGAGCCGCATGATGTTCAGGTAGCTAGCCTTCCCGAAACGATACCCAATCCAGCATCTCCGAGTTCAGTTGGATGTGTCTTCTTTGCTGCGTGAGAAGTGATGCTTGAGCAGACACGGTTGCCATTGTGGTTCCGCCACTTTCGGTATTTTGGGTATATGATAGTCGTACCTCTTATGATATCATACTCCTTTGTATGAAATCTACATGTACAATAAGATTTTGGCAAATGCATATCGTGCCCCCTAAACACCCAGCGTTGCTCCCAATAACAGATCAGGGGCTCATATAGTCGTGATCATACACATAACTCAACAGATCCACCGCTAGTATCTGATTAAGGGTATCTGATTCAGGGAACCCTTCAGCCCTGCATCTCTACGTCTTCCCCCTCTCCACCTTTCCTTGCCCTTTGCTCAGCTGCCCTCTTTTCCATCTTCTTCTTGCCCTGATTAACCCAATCATCATACGCACTTCCTCCCGCCACAAGCTTCGCCGACACGACACCCTTGAGAATCTCTCCCGCAAACCCAACAAAGTTGTGTCTCCTCAGGGCATTCTCAAACCGCCAGGCCTCACGCTTGCGCTCCTCACTCGCCAGCAGATCCTCATCAGCAAACTCGCGCGCCCGGATCCGCAGGTCTCGAATCATAGCCAGCAGGTTGAACCGGATCTCGCTGGCATCGTACCTGGCAATGCGCCGCTGCAGAACGTCCATAACCTTCTGCGGGAAGTCCTCCTGGGTACAAGCGCCGTGGCTGATGGGCGCCGGCTGCAGGCCGTCGAGCTCGTAAAGGGTGCCGCCGATGGGCGAGTAGGCAATGAAGTGGAAGGCGTCTCCGTCCTCCTCGTCGGGCCGACGCTGCGTCTCGTCGATGAACGGGCTGCTGCGCGCAAACGAGTTGTGCGTGTCGCGGATCAGCTCCGAGTTGGAGAGCGCTTCGCCGCGGATCTCGGCCGGCAGCGCGATGGTGAACTCGCGGAAGTCGCGAAGCTTGTCGCCGATGTCGATGTACCCCGCATCGCCTTCTTGGGAGACGGACGGGTCGGCCTTGTTGAGGAGCACGCTCAGGAGCGCTTGCGTGCCGCACGCGTTTTGGATGGTCTGGTGGGCGAAGAAGAGTCGCTCGCTGGCGTCGTAGTCGAAGGTGCCGTCGAGAGGCTTGTCGGTGCCTCGGTATGGCTCGTTCGTCGGGTACTTGAAGAGGAAGATGACGCCGTAGACGGGGTGGAGCTGCGCGAGGGCGTCGGGTTCTAGGGAGAGAAGTTCCTCGAATTGGACGCCTTTTACGCCGAGGTTGGTGAGAAGGTCGGTGAAGACGCCCTTGAAATGATTTGTCAGTCATTCATTGTTTCTACAAGAGTTGCGCCCGCGTGCCGGAAGGTAACTCGAGGTGGACAAATGGCTAACATACCGCATCGGACTCGACTGTGGACAATTTGTTAGCGCTGGAAGTACTATAGCTGGCGTATCGCAGCCCAACTTACTGGTATTCCAACCACCACTCATTTTGACAGGAAGTTTTGCAGATACAAAAGGTGCGGTTTGTAGCCGTATGCGTTGGTGCTCGGTGGTATATTGGGAGGAAGTTACTAAGTTGTGGCGGGGCTTGAAGCTGTCCAAGAATCGAGGGGTATGTCAGAACCGCAGGACGGAAGGTTAAGTTGTATTTCGCTCGAAGACGTCTCAACTGACGCGTCGATTACAGGTTCTGCTCGTTACAGAAAAAAAATCCAGTGTTCTAACACCGTACGCCACCAACCCCTAAAATTGCAAATGTCACGGCGAAGGTTCAATGCGATGATGCAGCTCGCGGACCTTCGCCAACAGCGATAAGATAAGCAGGTTCCCCTTCTAGGGATCGATAGTTTCTGAAAAAATGACATTTTTTGCGGAAAATTTCAAATTTCAGAAATTTCATTTTTTTCAATGGCCCGTGCCCCCTCCTCTCCCCCCTCCTCTCCAACCTACTTTTCAATATTCTAACTTGCTTCCTCAAATCCCCTCAATACCAACAACCTCCTCGTTATGCCGCCTATACGTAACGTTAGAAACGAGGTTATCACTGTCTAATTTGAGCTTATTTAAGACTAGTCATATAACTCCCATTGTATGATATACTTACTACAATAACCGCTAAACCAATAATATTATTCGCTTACGCGCTCACCTCTAAAACTGTAAGGCATACCGCCTTTACGAGTTCCGCCAGTAAGTTAAGAATTATAATAATATCCACTAATACGTGATTTAATTAAACGGTGCTTAAAAGAAGAAAATTGACTAGTACATAATTGAAATAATATTACTAAATAGGCAGCCTTTCAACCTTTTTGAAAGCTCCCTATACGTACTTTTCTATACTCTATCGTACCTATTTATACCCCTTCTAACGTTACTGCTATAGTTAATAAGTAGTTTTCCTTTATTTATAGGTAGATAAAAATATAGATTATCGCTTAATATATACGTACTGCTTTTTATATTAATATTTTTTTAATGAATTTAATAATTACGCTAATTATTATATCGTTAATATTTCCTTTACTACCGCTAGCAGAACGTCTTTTTTTAAGTTAAACTAGTATATTGAAGTAATCGAGTATATTATTATAAACCTCGCCTGTATTATTTCGAACGTTTATAATAAAATAACTAATACCTTAATTAAAATTAATGGTTCTATTACCAATATATATACTTTAGCCCGGCGTATAATATTTGAACTTATTTAAGAATGGTTTAAAATATCCTTTGCAATTCTATACGATTTATACTCGTTATAGTTATTAATAAAAGATTTAATTAGTATCGAACCCTTTAAAGTTCTCGTATAGTAGACCGTAATTATTATAAACTTCTTCTACGCTTTTAAGCTATAGTTAATATACCTTCGCGGTTTAATAATAATTTATTATAATAAATTCGTTACTATCTTAACAAAGTAAGTTAGGGATTATCCTTCTATTATTTCTTTTATATTATAAATTAATTAAATTAATATAATTACCCAATAGGGATTATAGTATAGATTTGTATAGTCGATTTAACGTATTAAGTTAGTATTATAAACCTTCGTTCGATAAATACGTTATAATAATAATTAGTAGAATAAACTACCCCGTATTACTATTATAGGAAGAAGGGGCGATAACGAATTTATTAAATTATAATTTATCCTCGAAATTATCGAAAACGCGTAATACTAATACAATCTTAATACCTTCGCAAAACTTATAACGCTACTTTATAAAGCCTAATTAATATTAAAGGCGGATAAATTTTATATCAGTTACATTATCCGTCGTTAAGTTACTATCTACTCTACTTAGGAATAAAATAGGGCGTCCCTCTATCGCTATAATGATTAATATTAAAATAAACTAGTAAAATTATATATATTACGTAGAAGTAAATAATTAACCCTACTTAACTAACTAGGCTTCCTTTTATACTTCGAAACTACGGTAAAGAAGCTCGCCGCCGTTCAACCTCCAACTCCTAGAATTACTAGTACAATACTCGAATTCCTCAAATAATATACCTATACCTTACCCAACGTTATAGAGGAGCAGTTCTTAAGTAATTTCTTATCCTTTAGGATTTGTGAAGGTAAATACGTACTAAATTAGGATATTTAAACCTATTATAATTTTAACCTTAAGGAATAGTAGAGTATATTATTAGATAGCGGCTTTATTATTACTCTCTTTACTATAAGGGTATTTAGTACGCTAATTAATAGTATACTATATAAACGGGCCTTCTTTACTATAAACTTCTTAGAGAACCTAAAGCGTAACCGCCTTACCGCCGATAAGATAGATATAGCTACGTTTGTTTATATAAATAGGAAGAAGCTTAAAAACCTTTACCAATCTTTTACCAGCTTTATTATATTAGAAAGGGACGAGTTGCTATGTAAATCGAGGAGTAGCTATATAATTATATATAAGAGAGCAATTAAAACAATAAGAGGGAGGCGGAAGAGGCCAAAGAGTAAGAGAGGAGGCTATTCAAATAGGGGAAATAGTTATTCAATATACAGATTTACACTTTATATGCCAAAAATACCAGAAATACCAGAAATGCAGTAATCAACGTAAATACCAGAGCTAGCATTTATCGCTGGATAAATCGATTTTACATACGATTTTCACGATTGTGGCCAAAAAAGCAGCAAAAAAAAAACGATATTTCAGTCACGTGCATGAAAAATGGGAAAAGAAAGCCATTTTTTCATGAAATTTCGAATCGACCCCTATCCCCTTCAACTTCGTCACTGTTGGTCGCTTGATGGAGCTTGCCCCTGGGGACCGACAACTGCAAGAATTGCCTGGCAGCTGTCTGTCAGCTGGGAGGGCATTCCCCAAGCATCGTTCACAACTGTCAGTCCGAAGCTCAGGAAATGCTTTTGATCGTCTCTGCTCTCCATGGGAACAACGACGCCATTCCGAGTTAGAAACTCTTTTCCCCCTACTCGTCATCATCGCGACTCAAAAGCTACGAAGCAGACGATTCTAATAATAGGAGCATCTTGTCAGATATCGTCCCATGTTTTCAAGCGTTCGCGTAACCACCGACAGTGTCCCATATGGAGTTGGACACATGGACACTCGGAACGGGAACATGATCCACAATACAGCAGCCATGGATGGACAAGCCGAAAGCAACATCAAAAAGGACAAAAAAAGAACAAAAATTGTGACAAGAGTGGGATTCGAACCCACGCCTATTTCTAGACCAGGAAGCTCAGAAGAGCGAGTTCAAGTAGACCTGAACCTGGCGCCTTAGACCGCTCGGCCATCTTGCCGTTGTCGATATTGTGATTTAAAGGCAGAAGTAGTGCTTATAAGCAGCCACCGTCCAAAGGAGCCGGTGGATGTGATGGTGAAGTATGATTTGCGCGCATGCTGTGAGGAAAGTGCAAGTGGAAGTTGCCGACATATCAATCGTTACGATTATCTCCATTGTTCAGCTTCGGCAGGTGCGTTGCTCTGACAAGTTAGGAGCGACAATTAGGACACTCGGATGCGGAAGCTCAAGTAGACCTCAGCCTGCTCGGCCATCAAGGTTTTTCGTAAAGCACTTCTGGTGTACACTGTACTTCTGGAAGGCTTGTTGGCTGTCACGTCACAGCACGTGGAATTATGGGCTGACGGACGCATCCAAAAGGTTCAGACGAAAACAATAAGTAAGGTATTTAAGATGAAGAAGAACGAGGAAGCTAAGATACACGTGGGTGGGAAGGGGTTCTTATATGCAATGGCAGATGGGATGAAAGACCAAGATCCCAGATGGTAACACAAGGATCTGACAGGTACTGGCATGGGCAATTATTACATTAGCTCGGGACCTTTGGTCAACTTTCCTCAGTCTTCTTACTGTGACGGCTGGCACCACCCGTCATAGATCTCATTCACGAATGGCTTCCATACACGGGTGGCTTCCATCTGATTCACGGGTATAGTTCAAATGGCTCAAGTTCTAGCCTTGGCCCTGAAACCTTCGTCCCTTTCCAGAGTCAGTGTATAAAACCCAGTCCTCCCCATCGAGCCTTCCCCTTTCGGGGTTTCCTTTCGGGGTTTCTTTCCTTCTTCAACTTCTTGTCTTCAGTCCAAGTTAGCCATAGTTAGTACAGCCTTTGCACATCGTACCCATCCTTGACTACGCTGTGACACTTACATCAAAGTTTCCTCGCAGCATGAAGCTAACAAATCGGCATTGGACTGGATGCAAATTCGCCAGCGAACTTGACAGTTTGGACTGGATAGGGATGGGAGTGAGCGGACGGATTCAAACTACCAGTATTCGGTAAACAGCCCATTCGTACTATATAGTGCTGGATTATTACCTTTTGGTGCGAGACCTCATGTCGAGTTGTTTCCTAGGCGTCTTGACATCGGGGTCATCTCATGCAAAGTGGTATGTATAAAGGGTGGTCCAACTATGCTAATTACATGTAGTTTTATTGGTAGGTAGCTTGAACATCATCAGACGTTTTTAAACTTAACATGAGTACAGTTCATGAAATACTGTCATCATGTTTTTTAGCTTAGATCTTTGGAATCAGCCTTTACACTCTTTACCATTCTGTCAGACGTTCCTGGCCTCCCATCAAGCACATCTTCGAACGGAGAAAACCCTCAGGGTCACTATTCTTATCCGACTGAGCTTCAAGAGCTCTTAAGCAACAGCACAGCTATCACACGACCCTGTCTGCTTTGTAGTTCAGTCATTGACGCGCAAAGAGATATGAATGATGAGAACAACTACACAAAGAAACCGAAGTAAACTCGAGCAAAAAAACGGGTTCGTATAATGTAAGCCGGAAGCGAGGTATAATAACATCTGATCTAAGAAGTCAAGGAGAGGTACATGTAAAGACAATAGGGAGATCATTGATCAAGTAAAACATGGAAGTAAAATTGCATCAGGAGCTACAACTGACCGGCTTGATACATACATGTTCCTCTGACGACACAGAGGCCTATTTCACCGACTAATTCTAGTAAATATTGACAGGAAACTGAAGTGAAGGCCTGATGGTTCTATCGATGAGTGTAGGTGGTGGAGTCATAGGCACTCTTCTCCTTGCTGCCACCCCAATGTACCGCTTCCTCATTACTGATGATTCTGTCCATTCATATGTTCAGCAGATTCATCTCTTACACTGGGAGAGCACATCGTGCTACCTTTTCTAGATGTCATTGTCGGATAACTAGACAGTGTCTGCTTGCTCTACGATGATCAGTAAGTACGTATCTGAGTGGAGGTACCTGACATCCGCAGGCGTGATGGTAGCGCAAACTAGAGGTACCGACTGAAGCGCTGAGTACGGTATGACCGTCGACAGACGGAAGTGAGCGAGTAGAGTGAATGGGTGGATGGGTAACTAATTGACTGAGACTGAGTGGTCGAGGTTCTCGGTAGCAAAAGGAACGGAAGTTGATGAGTTTTTCATATAATGGCCACGTACCAGCCTGATAAGCCTGTGAGCGTTGAATGCTGAAGTGCTCTGGATACCTAATGGTGGATGATTTGACCCAATTGGGCCTTTTGTGTAGTAACATGCTGTGCCGTGAATCTCTTCAAATTATTTATGAGTTCCTCGGCGATGTTCGTTAGCATAAGGGAGGACCGAGGAGTGAATGCCAACTTAGCTATCGCTACGGAGTCCTATAATGTCGAGGATTGTTCAACCCACAGCAAAGCATCCTGGGACATCCGATGGAATGAGGAGATCTGGTTGAGACACTGTTGTCCACTGCCCTGGCCTTACGACTCGTTCTTTCCCACTCTCATATCCGCACCTTCTTCAGTTGTATACCCTAAGGCTCCAACGACTTGTTCTTTCCAGGTCCGCTTTTCATATTCGCACCTTCCTGCATTCATTGATGGCTCCAACAGCCTTCTTGATATTTGGGGAAGGCACGGGTCGCGGTTCATGAAGCGCTGTGGGACGTTCACCCCGCCACTGCCGGGATAACATTGATCAACTGATATTGGGAAAAGACACAGAAATGAGATGGGCTTTGTTAGAAAATTGAAATGTTTCCCTTTGTGCTTCCAAAACTCTGAGTTCCTTTTCCTTTGACTGTTTGCCAATGAATGGGTACTACTTACCCCTAACCATGCTGTTGTTCGGGGACGGCCCAGTCGTGAGACAACTTGGATTGCATCCAAACTCTAGAGAATATCATTGACAGCTGAGAACCTTGTTGATGGTCATGAGTTTAGTAATGTAAGATCATTTTTTGGAACGAGCCAGTTTCTTTTCACTTGATTTTGGTATGTTTTCTCATGCTTCTTGCTTCTCCCTTCCATACCCCAGAGCACTACCTCTCATTCTCCCCCAGTCAATAGAGGCGCAGGTCTCTTTTCAGTACGGTAAGAATTAACATGCTTATGGTGAAGCATCTCCGCTCAATCTCCCAGTACTATTATCACCAGTATTCATGCATAGGTGGAAGAGTTATTGGCGAGTGACCATCGTGACTGGTAGGTCCCTCGCACCACCTAATTTTGACACATTAACGGCTGGCCGACAGCTTCTGAAATCTCTGGACATGAATGTGTAGAGATACTCATTCATTCCGTAGTTGTTAACCCCGACTATCTCTTGACAGCCAAGTAAACACTTGTAGTTCCAAGATGCCGCTTAGCCGAACTTTTGAGGATGGCCTCAAAACATTCACGCAATGCCGACTTAGTCTCTCCTACAACTTACCTACCTACTTACATGGTATAACGACCGTGTGTCTAACAGACCAACCAAGAAGAGCGGCCTAGAGGAAGTCGTACAGTTACTTGACCTCTGAATATTTCGATCCGCATATTATATGCAGATCTTCTTTCACCTCCTACCCATGCCAAGGTACGGAACTTTTGTAAAAGGTGTTGGTGATATGGTAGTAGTAATGGTAGTGGTAGTGGTAGTGGTGTGTCCAAAACCAGCAGCAACCAGCCAAGCTTGACTAGAATTCGAGCCAAACTAGTAACTAACTGACATAAACGGAGTTAGTCTGAAACAAGCTTTGAATTTTCGGATGAACCTCCGGTCGATATGTTGTTATACATCATGCACATAACGAAGGGCACTGGGGGGATTGAGCCGATAGACAGGCACAGCTAGAGAAAGGTAGGCACCGCCATATCCCCACCGGAAAGAAAGCTCGTGTACTAGTCCTAAGTTGGTGCAAATAGGCATGTAGCGAGAGAGCTGAGCTTCAGTCCCTAGTAAGGTACGAACAGACTTTTGGGTCGATGTACCTACCATGATGTGCTCCAGTCAGTCTCTTTCCGAGCTGTTTCCGAGCTGCTGACCACCTACCTAGTAGTCTAGGCCGAAGTTCGAACTTTCGATCGTCACCCAGGGGCATCCGGATTCCGGGCACCTCATGGGCATTTCATGGGCACCTCAGAAGCTACCTACGCTCGGGCTCCACCTCACCAGGGTTCCTAAGGGGGTAGGTGATTGTGAGTGAGGTAAGCAGAAGACAAGTATGGGATTGTTCAGCTTGTCCCCTTTCCGAGATCCGAAAGGGCATGCATGTGATGTGAGTATGATGGAATTTCTGCTCCTTGTTCGGGCCAGTCACCAGCCGACTGGAACGAGAGAACCGGGGGGAAGAGCCCAAAACACTCAAAAATCGTCGATGGCAACCTTGAATTCCGATCGATTGTGGATGTAAATCGGTATAATCGGGCACCCCGACCTTCGAGTCGAGCTGGAACTAGGTTTGTGACTGGAGAGAGGAGAGCCGAGAGAGCCTCATTAAGCGAAAAGCGAGCGAGTGAGTGAGTGGTGATGATCCTGGTCGACTTCCAGTTTGGGTCTTTCTCCTCTTTCCGTGTCCAACCATTCGCTCGGAAATTTTCAAAGGGGCTCCTGGCTCCTTAAAAGATCCTCGACAGTGATCGTATGTGGTGGTGAGGAATCGGTCCCCTCGGGGTCTTTCCCCTCTCTTTATCTCCTGAGCTCCTCAAGGGTAGTTAAAAAGGGTCGTGGTGATTAAGATGGGTTTTTCGTGGGCTAATGAAGTGATTGGCGGTCTTGTCGAAATTACCCCGTAGACCCCGTCCGCTGCTGTGGTACCGTAGGGGGAAAAGAGCCCCAGCCTAACGACTCGTGTTGGGCGGCCTGGTAGTACCTGGAATAGAATAGAATAGGTAAGTTTGGAAACTTTCAAGGATGGATTTTCCGGGGCACACCTGTTGAGCGAGTGCTTGGGAAAGATCGATGACAGGGTGTTTTTGAGATGTAAAAGGTGGAAAAGTTTGTTGAGGTGTGATTGATTTTTGTTGGTTCGATAACAAAATTTCTGGTATGATATGGTATGATCTGCACTCTTCCCGTCTTTACTGCCACACTGCATAGTATGTATCTAAGTGGCGAGTAGTAGCCGATAGACACAAAACGGCTTGATAAGGCAACTGTCATCTCGATGGGAATTTGAGGCATACTGCCAATGTCACTTGTCAAGGCCGCATAGTAAGATCCCATGTGGGATAACTGTAGGAGCAAATCATCCACCCCCATATTCAGATAGATGCTTTCCGAGACATACTGTTATGAAACGGCAAATAGTGGATAGTACCAAGAGAACAGTTTGAGAGATGGATGGACGCCAGGAGGCAGCTCCGGTCGCTCTCTACCGGACGCGCGTTGCTGCTAAGCTTCTCGTGGACTAGGTGAGTGATCTCGATGCAAGTCATAATGGCATGATGGCGTCGGGTGGATGGGTTTCCGCTTTTAGTTGGGTTCGCAATTCCCGTCCCTTCCCACGCTCCCACAATCGCGGGGTATCTGGGTAATGTACGTGATCACCTGTGAGTTCAGGGCTGCAGTCCGGAGACTTGTTGTTGGCCCATACGAAGCGCCGTGGATACGGTATGTATATATTTTGCTCGGTCGAGTCTCGCTTCTTGGCCTTTCGTCGGATCGCTGTCCTTCCGCGCGGCATACAACACCAGATGCGGTCGCGAGGGAGATGAGGTTGAAGACGTTGAAGTTGACGAAGCTCCATCAAACTGCTGGGCATGGTGGGGCTGCAATGCTTTGGCAGCTGGCTGCAAGGGACGGCAGATGTCGCCGCGACCGGCTGGCCAATGCATTTTGACGGGGCGAACCACCGTGCCGGTCGGGGGAATCTTCCAGCGATTGCGATTGGTTCGTGCGAATTGCTGGTGCTCCCGCCCCGGAAAGGGAAACCCCCAAAAGACAGAAGCGATGAACACCCATTTGCACAGTTGCACCTCGATTTCAAGCCCCCTTTTTCTCGATACCCAATGCAATCGCCAAGCGGATATAAGTAGAAACGCGAATGGAACATGTCTGGTCGGGTATTACCGGTGCGATTGTTCATCTCCAGGATCTTTTTTGCAGAGTGCACACTATGGGAGTGCGTCAAGTCAGTAGTATTCATCGATCTCACTCCATCGGAAAAAAAGCAGATGGACTGTTCGCATATCGACGCCCCGAAAACAGTCGGGGAAGAACCATGTGCTAACGTTCCACCACTGGCACCCCTAATTTCTTAACACCGACGAATGTGCGAATCTGAGCTTTGTAAAACAGGCAACGTTGATGTTTGTAAGCCGATAATTTGACGAGAAGAATCAAAATCTTTCTCCGGCTCCGACGTGGTTTGCCTGTTTATGCAATCGCATTATGTTGAAACTTTTGTAGTCTGTAATTTCACCATGAGAGTCCACCGAAATGCAATTGTTGCTATTGCCCAGTCCCGACACGCTTACCAGCGTACAAAGGGTCCAAGCCAGCAAGCCAAACACAAATCATCCGTGTCAACGTGTGTGTCTTGGATGTTGTACGCTATTGGATTTCCTTTTGGGCAAGCACAGGGCACAGGCATATGAAAAAAAAACTGAGGGTACGAGAAGTATCGAGAATCGCGGAATTGCCATCCTCCCAAGAACCGAAAAAGCAACCTCACCAAACAATGGCATCTCTGAATCTCTCACTTGGGCGCACGATCGCACATCTGGCGGGGGATCTGACGAACTGCTCCAGTTGCCGGGCTGAAATTCGGTACAGACCAATGGTGGGGCTCTCTGGTTGCAACTCAACATTACAAAACCCCCCCACCCATCTGTCCCTTTGCAGCTGTAATAGCTGTGAGCCTGTGACAGACCGATGGGCTGGAAAGGGCTGGTAATCAATGGATTGAAATCACATGTTGCAAAAGCAGTCGACCAGGTGCTTTCATGATCATCTGCAAATGCAGAAGTTCATTGTCACACAATTTGTCACAATAGGAGCCGCCAAGAGATTGTGATTATGGAATTATCAGGAATATGAAACAAGAAACAAAATGTTTAGGTAAGTCCCACTGGCTAGCGGAGCGCATGAAATGCCCGGCCAGTGGGTTCATGCCGGCCGTGACTTCTGAAGTTGTGGTTAGACGCCCCGTTTTCTGTTGCAGTTGCCTGCTGCCCGGAGATGTCTGAATCGCGAAGACCAAATCTTGCGGAGAAATCTTGAAGGAAATTGAAGGACCGGCCAACATCACTCGACATCACGAGATCCCAGTGAATCACTTTAACCGCCGCTTTTGGTCATGTTTTATGTAATTATTACGCAGTTACCAAGTTATCCAAGGAGGACCAAGACTTTGCGCAATTGGTATAGCTTCAGCCAAGAAGAGGGAAAGGGGACAATTCCAAATGGCTTCTCCATTTGTGACTGTTTGTGGTGGGGTCTCGATTACTCCCTGTGATGGCTTCGCTCAACAAGGCAAGCAAATGGCAAGCGGTGCACTTCCCAAGTCGTTGGTCCATTCAAGTCGCCGGGCAGGGGCGCGTTCCAATTTTTAACCATGGTATCCGTTTCCCATACAAAAATGATCCCTGTTGGTGATATGCAGTTGATGACACTGCATATTGCGCTAGAGAAGGCACTTAGGACCTCGAGAAGTACCAATTCGACCAGGGAGCCCTGTAACCCCATTGTAAACCCCCTATAATCGACCTGTCGCTTGCATAAGGCCTTGTTACTTTCTTAAAAGGGTATTGTGAGATGCTAAGAGTTGTTAATTAGAAAATATAGGAAAAAGCTGCTTTTTTATTATTGATCCGGCGTAATAGGGGTTTTGTTGGGGTATTGGTTAGCTATATAAGGTATTGGAAATGTTAGCGGCGGTACTGGCGGTTATTTTTAATATTTTATATAAATTTGTCTGTTCTCTTTTATATAATAATCCCTCATAAATCGAAATACTTCTATTAATTATAAATTAGATTTATTAACCAGTGCGGCTCTTTCTAATATATATATTAGTTGCGGTTATTATTGTAGTAACTTCGATAAGGGCCTGCGGTAATTACGATACTATATGGGGATTAATCTATATAGATTGGTTTGAAGGCGAGGCGGTTATTCGAAATGCCTTCCTTCGAGATACGAAGTTGTTTGATTTGTATTGTATAAAGCTATATCTTTTTATATAGTTAATCGATTGGATATTTATAAATACTAATATTTATAGTATAATAGGGATATTTATTAAGTAGAAGGTTATAATCTTCTTATATATTTGCGCTTATAATAAAACCTATCGAGATATAGCCTACTAGCTTGGTTATAGTATAGCGATTATTAATTATATTTTTAATAAGGTGCTTCGTACTATAGTCCCTCTATATAATTATATTATTGCGTTCCTAATATTTAATACGGTATATAAGTCAGTATTGAGGGATAGGAAATTAAGCTGGTTCTTTAAATATTATTTTAGTACTATCGACAGAACTTTTGTTTATACCCGGGTACTAGCGGGAGAAATATAGGCATAGTGGGATCGAAAGAATTATATTATTTAGAATATCCTTATTGTAATCGCATTCGATAGTTTATTTACGTATATACTTTTAGGAGGAGAAGGGTCGATATATAATACTAGACTTTTCAGATTAGTATTTATATTTAGATTTACAATACCGCTAGGGAAATTCTACTTTACCAACGCGGGGTTTTATGTAATACGTAGGATATTAATATTATACTTTATAGTATAATATTATTTAATTAAAGAGGGAGGACGAAGAAATCGACCGGGGAATAAGAAGGAGTTGTATAATTTAAAGTATTCGAAATATTATATTAAAATTAAAATTACTATTGGTAAAATGAAGAAACGGTTTGAAATTGTAAGGTTGTTAGCGTTAGAGTATTTTATTAAAAATTAGCGCAATATTATATATATAGTTACCGCGCTTTATAATTAGATTGAAAGGATAGATTTATATAGATTAAAACCCCCTATTAATAATAATAATGAAAAAGGTATTACGAACGTTACTGACGTCGATTTTGAGAGCGAGGATAATAGAGGGGTAGTTAAAATTGAGTAAGACAAATATATAATGGAATTTAAAGGGATTTTGGCCTAGCGAATATAGGTAGATTATAGTACTTGGCGGCTTACCCGGGTAGCCTAACAATAAATTGGCCATACGCTTAACCCCGCCCTGGAGAGACTTAGAAGAAGGCGCGTATAATAATTCTTTATACTATTATATATAATCTATATTTTATTTAAAATTTAATATAAGGGCATTATTTTATTCGCTGGATTGAATTGAGTCGATTAATATTAGTTATATCAATTTTGGAATTGAAATAAAAGAATTATTAATATTATAGTATCAACTATTTGTATAGGGTTAGGGTTTGAATTCTACGGTTGTAGGTTTATATTATTATATTTGCCCTATATTTAAGATTTGGCGGGCGAGCTAGAGCCTATATTTATTGGATTTTTATTGCCCAACCTAGCCTAGCCTAGCCTAGCCTAATCTAGCCTAATAGAGGGTAATTAGATTGGCTATTTTTTTAATTTAGCGAAATTTTTCTAATTTTACGATTTTTCATATTTAATACGGTAAAACCCCTATATCTCCTAATAATAATAATAACGCGTGAAATTAATACGATTGTAAATTACGATATAGTTTTTCAACTACGATACGTACAAATGCGACGATAAGAGTAATAGAATTGTATTAACGAGAATTATTAAATGGTATAAAAATATTACGATTTTTCTTAAAGAATTAAGAGGGTATAAAATTAATTTAGGTTATTAGGCACTACGTTCTCCTCCTTCCTCTCCTCCTCCTCCCTCTCCTTATCTTTTTTTTCGATGAAGAATAGTTCGTTATTGAATACTATCTTTACGAATAAGAACCTCCCCGGCGGTATATTAGTAAAGAGGCGCGCTATTTCCTTATTTTTCTATAGTCTTCTAATAAAATTATATTTATTTCCCTTCTATATACGATAGTAAAAGGATTCGTTTATTAGTACCCGGACGAATATTTTTAGGTAGTAGCTATATTTAATTGGATTCGCCGGTATAATAATAGGGGGTATAGCGGTAGAAGGATTGGCTATAATAATAGATAGAGACGACGACGGCAGTTGAAGGATATTTTAGGATAAATACTTCTATATACTAAAAATAGAATTAGCTAATTTAATTATACTATTAGCGGTGGTCAATTTTTTCTTTACAATTAGCCGTATGTAAAGAAGCGCTTCTTCGCTATTAGAGCTTATAAAATCTCTTATTAAATCCCTCTTCTTCTTCGCCTTCCCCTTTCCTTTACTTTTACCTTTTCTCATTAAAATAGTAATAGTATCATTAATATTACGTTCCTTAATATCCTGCCCTTCTAATTATTACTATAACCGGTCCTCTAATTGAATAATATACTTACTAATTACCTAATCGATAGTAAAAATTATAGTATATTCCTTATAATATTTAAGGGCAGTTATTTTTAATTACTTTACCCTTGGTAGTTTACTTTTGAGGAAGGAAGCCTAAATATTATTATCCGCCTTAAATCGACCGGTTGATTCGTTAAAGATTACCTTAATTCTTTAAAAAAATTCGGTCTATAGGCGGTAATTATCTTCATAGGAATTCTATCAATTACGTAACTATTTAACATCTTAATTAATCGTTAGCTATTTAATAATAAATTTGCTGGCTATTTTAACGAGGGCTACTCTTAATTAATTAACGATTTCAATATAAAATTTCCCCTTCTTAATATATTTAGCGAGGGTAATCATAAATATTTGCTTTTAAGTATTAATTTATTAAGGGGACGCCTTATTATTAGAATTAGGTTTAGAGGTAAAAGTAATTAGTAATTAAGTATTAAGGGGAGGTATTATTAACTATGGCCGTATAATAGAGATATTAAGGAACGGGTTATTATTATTGATTTGGGGTGGTATGCCTTATGATTTTTGCGCTGATTTTTTTCACGATTTTTCTGCAATGCATTTTGTTTAGAAGCATAGTTACAAGACTGGAAGGAACTAATTAACTAACATTAATTAGGGATTATAGGAAAGACTAGGAAATTAATAAATTACTAATCGTATAAATTATTTAAATAGATAATTACTTATCTATAATTGAGAGATAAAATTAAATAAACTATCGATAGAAAAAGAAGATTAATAGAAGAAGAATGGAAGGATAGGAGGATAATAAAAAAACAAAGGGATCAACACCAAGAAAAAAATCATCAGAAAAA